GGGGAGGCGGCAAGGTTGGCCTCAAAGACACAGGACTCCTGTTCTAGGAAGCAAACAAAAAGGTTAGGGCTGCTGCCTGAACAACACTTACTAGTTTGGGAAACAGTATTTGGGAATCTGATCTCCTGCAAAGCCAGCCTTGATCACCCCAGAACCCTGCAAGGAAAAACAATGTTTACATTCACCTCCAAATTAAGGCAGTGCCCTACAGTGGAAAGCGTGGGTTGCCTGTTCATGGCAGCTAGTGGAAGCCAAGATCCTGCCCAGAGGGCAAGGTCATTTACAAGTGCACTGGTGGCTCAAAACTGTGTGGGGGTGGGGGGGGGCAATTCTACACCCTTTCCCCCCCAAATTTGACAATGTCTATGAGGATGCTACCCATCTAGTGGGTAGAGGCCAGGAACACTGCTAAACACCCTATGGTACACAAGCCAGCCCCTCACAACCAAGAATTATTCAGCCCAGAATGCCAACAAGAGACTGAGAGTCCATCATCATAAAGTCCATCCACCTCTGCAAGCTCAGGGTCAGCTCCCAGCAAGAAGGATCCAGGGCTAAGCTACTCCCAAAAGCCAGCTAGAAGCAACCCCTAAGTGTAGTTTTTTCAACAGCCCCTGGCTCCCTTGCCCCCAGAACAACAGACCACCGGGAAGACCACTGGGTGCCTGGGAAACTGGCACCTCTCCAGTGGTTTTCCTAGAGACTGCAAAGAACTCTTGCTCTCACTGCTCCAGCCTGGACCTGGCATCTAGAACCCCTCCCCAACCCCTCTTCACATAGACCTTCATCCCAACACTTTGGGTGTGCAATGCAGGAATAAACATCCCCAAGTTACAGAGCAGCTAGAAGCCCAGAGGGACCATGCAGGTGGCCCTCTGAATTCAGAAGCGTGTGGATTAGCCTAAGTGAATTATTTGCTTGCCAAGAAGGGAAGTGGCCTGGTCCTTCCTGTCCTGCTGGAGAGCATCCCTTGCTGTGGCTCAGGGAGCCCACAGGGGAACTCCAAAAAAAGAGCCACTCCGGGACCGCACGGGGATCCTGTGGGAGGGAGACAGATCCCAGAGAAGGAAGGGAGTCATCATCCAAAAACTCCAAGGCTCGCACACCACAGAACCATTCATTTTCTTCCTACGGACCCGAAATTTCTGAAGCCAGAAATCCTCGGAGGGCAGCGGGCAGCACGCTGAGCCCCAGTGCCGTAGGGCAAGGCCACAAGGAAGCCAGGCATCTTTCCTCTGAGGCTTCCACACAATTATCCCCACGTGTTTATGGGTCCTGAACCCTCTCCGCGCCCGGCCGGCGGCGGCAGTTCCGCTCCACACTACGAGCACTTCACGGGAGGGTCAGAGTGGCAAGCAGCCCACCAGGTGGCGGTGGACTTGCGGCTGGCAGAGCTGAAATTGCATTTTTCCCCGTCCAGGGAAAGGAGGGCAGTGGGGCCTGTTCCCTCTGAAGGTCCCGCCTGGGGTGCAGCCCCCTTGGAAAGCGCGGCTGTAAAGGTCCCCAGGCCGACCCTCTCCAAGAGATGAGGCCCGCGGCGTGCGAAAGGGCCAACGCCGCCCTTCCTCCACCATGGGGGGCGGACAGACCCACCGCCCGAGAGAGAGGAGTCAAGGGGCTGGGGTCGAAACCTGCCCAGTGACCCCGCTCGTCCCGGGCAGGGCCGCCCGCTGTCACTCCTGCCCTCCCGAGATGCTCGTCACGGGCCGGCTGGGGCAGGGCTCGGGCAGGGGCTCCGCGGCGCCGGCGTGGGGC